TATATATATATTTCTGAATAATTTGAGAAAAAGTTAGGTATATCATATTCCTTTCTCTCTAGTGTGCATTTTCCAAAAACAAAGAAATTGTCTTAATAATTATAGTACAGTTATCATATGTGGAAATATAATACTGATGCAGCATTCTTACATAATCTGCAGTCTGTATTTCAATTTCAACATGCATGCCCATGATATCCTTTCATTACAACAAATCCAGTCTAGACTCCTATCCAGGGTGTTTCGTTCTCCTGTCTACCTAGTATGCCTAACTTGGATCAGTTACTTTGTCTATTTTAAAAATAATTTTTAAAAGTATATTTATTTCATTTACAAGAGAGACAGAGAGAAAGAGAAGTACTCCCCATGGAGTCTTTCATGCCATAGTCCATCCACAGCTTCAGCCAGCCTAGATCCTGTGCACATTCACACTTGTCTGACATGTATGCAGGGAGACCTCTGCCTATATGGCTTCAGCATTGCAGAGCACTGCAGTATATTCCGCTATGGCTGACCTCTTTTGTCTTTTTTTTGTTTTTATCATTCATGATATTGACATTTTTGGAGTTGTAGCAATTATTGTTTCTTAAATTTTATTTCATGAGAGAGAGAGAGACAGAAAAAGAGTGGAAGAGAGACAAGCACCCTCGACAAGGTCTCATGCCATGATCCTCCCCCAGCCTTCTCAGTCAAGCATGATATGTACAGGTTGTGTACATAGGTTGATCTGGAAACTGAACCCTGATCTTCTTTACAGCTTCCAGCATTGTAGAACATTATGCTACTGCCATGTCACCATGTCTGAACCTATAGAAATAATGTAATTAATTTTTTTTCTTAGTGGCAGAATTGATACCTAAATAATGTGTGACTCTTTCAGTACACCACATCAGAATGTCCTTGACTCTCATTTGTGCCATTTTTGGCCAGGTTAATTTGAAGCACCTCTGGTTACGATGGTGTCCTTCAGGCTCTCCACTATAAACCCTCTTGTGAAATGCAGCAAACATGTTTCTTAATGTAGAGTTGGCTGTGCTAAAATAAAATGGAATGTAAGCAAACTACTCAGATAATTTAGGCAAACCACACAGAATTTTGTGAACCCTTTGTAGGGAATAGTCTAGGTAAAATGTATAAAGCACTTTAAAACAATGCTTGGCATACAGTACATACTATAGCAATTATTAGAGTTTTTATAAGGGATGGTTGCTAAGTCCTGTCAAGCTTTTAAAAGTTCATTGTAATTTTATAAGCTTT